TTTCCCCCAGCCACCCCCTAAAAAAACAGACCCCTAGTCTTCAACCATGGGCCCCTTCACTCCCCAGCCCCACCAACAGCAGCATAACAAGTTAGGTAAGGAACCAGCATCAAGTCTCAATAAAAGCGCATTACAAACTTGATTGTGCTTTTGTTCATTTCAGATTGCTCCATTCAGAATAGGTATCCTCCCTTCTCACCAGATCCCCGTAACCAGCTTAGTGCTAAATCTTAACCCTCCCCATATAGTAGCTGCTCTTGTGTGTTTCTCTGTGCATTTTTGGGGTCTGTTTTTCCACTCACTGATTTATGCCTGGGGGCAGCTAAAATTAAGAGAGCATTTTGGTGCTGCCCAGGGTGCCTGTGTAAGTGGAGGAATGCAGTGCAGACTTCTGCTCCATAAGGTGAAATGAATAGCCATATGCAGGCTCTTGCCTGCCCAACTTTATAATTCAAGGAGTTGGGTGTGCAGTTAAAATGCCAACAGTCTACAAGATTTTTCCTATATTTAAATGACTGTGTGCTGGATTTGTGTGACTAGATTTATGAGTCAGGAATTATCATCCCTCTGAGATTAGTTTGTAAGACAAAACAGGAGCAATATTCAAGAAATAAAAAAAGGTTTTATGTTGTTCTTCTGTACAGTAATTAAGAGAACCTTCTGCCACCTGCTGGCCACTGTTATTCCTCCTGAGTTTTAGTCACCCAGGCTTTAGTAGGGTTACTCTGAACTACAGTTTTCTTTATTGCAAATGTATTATGATAAATGTACATCTAAACCAAATACTAGTTAAAGCCATAATGCTGAATGAAAAAAACATGTAATACATATTATTAAAACCCAGATGCTCTTTGCTAAAGATGCATAGCAATCAACATTTTTCTTACCTAGGTATATTCTTGTTTGTGGTCAGTCTTTATTCATTACAGACCTGATGGCGAGGTATTGCTGTCTTACTGTGCTCTCTTTTATTTCATTTTATTACAGGTAGTTCATCGTTATCCTACAATGCGCCATCTCACACAGACCCTTCCCCACGGCTTGCTGCCAAAGAGGGTAGGAGCACATTTTTCTACCCTATTCTTTATTTATATTCCTTTATATTTGAATTTGTGTAACTGTTTCATATCAAGGGAGTGAGGTGATACATTAGCAGTCAGGTAAAAAGAAAATTCAGCTTCACAGGACCTACAAGCTTCAGACAAACAGATAAAAACTAATTCACACAAAGCGCACACACACTTGAGAATGCAAACCCCTCACACAAATCCAGGGCACATGCAGTCACTGATTGCAATTGACAAAGCTCTGTGCAGGTGCATCTTTTGTGCTGTTAGAATAATATGAGCCTACAGCTGATCGTGCTATTCAAAACCGCTACCTGAACATTGTGACAACACATCATAGCTCAGAAGGCTAGTCTCGAAATAGAGGCATATTCACAATAAGACAAAAGAGGTGCGCTGATGAATTCTATCCACAGCAGTAGGGGCAAGAACAGACTATGAATGAAGCGATTATGGGAAAGAAGCAGGACATAAGACATGAATGAGGTTGTTTATTGGAGAGACATTCATCGGAGACAGGTGGTTAAGCAACAATGTGTATGTTAAACATGTCAAAGCGGCTGATTGGCTCTTTCAGACCAGACTGGAGATAAAAAGAATACATGTGTGTGGGTCTCTACTATGTATACAAGTGAATTGATGGTTGAGATGATGATGACAGATGTTTAAAGGGAGAGTAGCCATGGGGGGGACTACTACTCTAATGTAGAAAATCAGCAGTCAGAGACCTGTTGTAGTGTTGGTAATTCTTATTAAAACCAAGCTGAGTTTCTAAGAGCAACACCCAGGGCAGCTCTTTCCTCTGGTTACCTTTTCACTCTACAAACATTGTTTTGTGGTGACACCACATGGACCAGCCGAAGGCTACCCTGCATATCTGCAATCCTTTACATTGGCTATATGGTGTCACCACTAGAGACGGGAGAAAGGACTGTAATAACAATGATAGCCTTGCTCACAGGATGAGGGGCCCTATCAAGGCAGGAGAAGAGGAAACACTAGGTCTGATAAGTGCTGTCGAGAATGCCCTCTGCCTCTCTCTATCTCCCCCAGTGGTGAGGTTTAACAGACCACGCACTTGTTCTCGCCCGGCTTCAATACCAATAGGCCAATGGGCAGGTCAGATAAGATTCTGCTTGGTCACCCCTGACCCTGGTCTTCCTGGTTCTCAGCGCCAGGTATTTAAACTGGCAAGAATAGAGGGTCACTCCCTTTAACAGCATTTCCCTTTCACAAGAGGTGACTTCTATTATGGGCTCCTGTAACACTGACTGTGCCTCGAGCTGTGTCCCATGATCCCACGCCTTGCACAGTTTCTAGCTGATAAAAACCTGGGAAGAGTTATGAATTACGCTCTGACCATCCAGATGTTAAATTTGTCCCTTTGTTTTTAAATATTTATATTCAGTCTAAGTGTGTACAACTTATTAGCCACATGAAATATTACAAAATGTTACTTTCATGCAAAAATTAAGTGAAAAGTGAAACAAGATTAAGAAGAAAAATGTTAAAAATGGAGATGGAAGTTTGTGCCTCAACAATAAAAGAAGTCTTATGTCAAGAGAAGCCTGTATTAACATTTTCTCAGATCAGCATTACCAGATGTTCAAGTTCATATTGCCTTTTGACAACAGTCAAATACCATACAGGCTCTTTGGGGTAGAGTAAGCATGAGCATACAGCAGGAGACAACCCTTAATCTGCTCCAGACTCTCTGGTGTAAACTGCAATGTTATGAATAAAAGCGGGCATATAAAACATGGAATGTAGCAGCTACTGCTGTGGTGTAGGGGGGCTCTACATGTCTAAAGTCTAGTCTGCTATTTGCCCATGGATAGGCATGTGTGTAGGCGGATTACTATGTCTTAAGACGTGCAACATTTGTTTCAGTATGCATTTGAGTAAGTATGAACTAGATTTGAGGTGCATCTGGGTGTTTTTATTATATGTTGACAGCTCTGGTTCATGGCTTTTTTCCCCTCTGCTGAGTTTTTACAGGTTATGTTTGTGTCGCTGCTATATAATTTTGGATTTTTATACAGCAAGCATTTACAGCAAGAGCGCTCATATTTTCCGCTACCTCTCAGCGAACGAGGAAAGCTAATGATGAATCATATTTATGAAATTTGAAGTGTGCCATTATTTACACAAGCTTTAAGACATATGACTTCTCATTACTCTACAGTTGTTGCATTTTGAAATCAAAGAAAAAGACATTATATATGTACATGAATTGTTTAAATCTCTTGGAGAGGAAAATGCTGATCAAGATTAGCTAACAAAGTTGCAGTTTGTTTATGTTTGTGTCTCCTCACTCTGTCTAACTCCTGTATCTTGCCATTATTCTGCTCTTATGGCTCCTTCCTCACACTGATGGCTTTTAAAGCACCTGTATCACAGTTCTTAAATAAGTTTGCTCTGTCTGGGTTTCTCCCCTTGATTCAGACTCAGGGTTAAAAACAGTTCATGACTCGACTGTCTCGCTCTGCGTCCTCTGTCTGTTTCACCCTCTATGTTCAGTTGCTCTGTCTTTCGCTCCCACTCTCCTCTTGTCTTTCTCCTTTAACCTCTCTGTTTTTTAGCCTCTCTCACCCTCTCTGTCTAGCACTCTGGGCTTGTTTTGACTAACTGGTTCTGCAGTCGAAATCTCCCAGGAGCATGCACCACACCCCAGACCAGAGTGGAAACTGGCTCAAGTCGCAGTCAGAGTGAGGCCTGGAAAAATGATGGCGGGAGGGGGTGGTTGGGGATGAGGCTGCTCTGTGTGTGTCCACATTCAGGTCTGTGTCTGTGTTAGCATGGCTGGCTCTCACCGCATACCCCCGACCACTGGGGCTTTGTACGTTTTACATCTGCTGTTTCTTCCTTCTTTTTCACTTTCACTTCCCCTTCGCCACCTTTCACTCAGTCCAGTTAGCCTCAAAGTGACACTGTGTGTTCTATTCTTGCTTGTATGTTTTAAGGGAAAATTGTTTAGGAAATTAATGCAATATATTGCCAATAACTATACCAAGTGTCTCTAAAAGACAAGCCTGTATTGGTAGGATCGCTTTCAGCCTGTACCAGACAGTAGCTAGGTTTGCTTCCATTGTTTTCTTTTCAAATTCCAAAGTAGTGTTTCTTCCAGCTCTATTTTTTCATTATTTTTCTCCTCCCTCTCTTAATTTTCTTTTTTCTCTTCCATGTCTTTTTATGCACTTACTCATTTGTCTCCATCTTCATCTGTCTGTTTCTCTGTAATCTTTCTTTCCTTCTTCTCTCTCATCTTTCCTTCATTCGTCTCTACTTCTCCCCCATCATGTCATCTCCTGTTTGAAACCCCCTCTCTGCACGTAGGTGGAGGTAGCCCAGTTTTTTTCAGGGCGGTGGAGAGTAGATGGAGAGAGGGGTGCTGGCGGTGAGCAGAGGGGAAAAAAGGGCCAGTAAAACAAAGAGAGGTTGTCTGCAGGCAAAGCAGGCAGGAAACGCAAGTCTCCCAGGACTCTCCCCCAGTCACTGCTTCTTGGCTATCCTGCCGACCCACACCAGATTGAACCTGACAGCCCCACCAAGCCACAGCAACCCGCTTGTTATTTGTCCCTCTTCTCCTTCTTTTTGTCTTTTTCTCAATTACACTCCTTCTTTTCATTTTGCATGATCAAATTCTAATTTATTCCCTTTTTTTTGCTTTGTTGCAAGTTCATATCCTTTGTTTTATTTAATCCATTATGTCTCTACACTGTCACTTTTATGTTGTACATTTGTCTCCATTTTCAAAATCCCTCTTTGCAGCCACAGAGACCAGAACTTCTCTTCCCATCTGCAGACAGGAATGGGCCTTTGTTCAAACAACAGGGGTTAAAAGTTGAAAAGTTACAGTAGGAATAGTTGAAGCACCCGAGAGGTCCCTGAGCAGTAGGAAGTTTTCCTATCTGAGGTTATTCTGCCTGTAAGGACAGAGGGGAAAAGGCATCAAAACATGAAGGCAGCACAAGAAACTTAATTGGACATGAAGTATTTTTACATTGGTGGCTTATAAAATGAGTAAAACAATAAAACACTTGTGCGGCAGCTTACCATGCAAACGTTGTTTCCATGGTTGCAGAGAGATTAAGAGTTGAGTGGTGCCGAAAGGAAAAATGAGGAATTTGATTTAAAGTGCTTTGTTTTTTATTGTTCAGAAACACGGAGATCAACGTGTCATAATCCACAGGAGGGCAGTATTGTACAGTGTGTGGAAATGGTTGCACTTGCAGTGACAGATGATTGATGGTAAATTAGATTTCACTGGATGTTTCTCCAGTGTGGCCATATGAGGTCATATGGGTCCAGGTGGTACACAAAGCCCGTATATGTTGTTGTTGTTGTGAAGAAGACCGCATTTGTTTGTTGCAGATGCATTCAAAATGAGAAGCTTATGACATTTACATTTACATTTACATTGCTTGATTTTGTCTTGTATCCCAGATCAGTGGGCCTTGCATTATATAAACTTGTTTACACAAAACCTGTTTTATATTATAGGGAATTATATTAATTGTAGTTTTTGTTTGTTTGTTTTGTTTTTTTAATAATTGACAGCTTATAGTATGCAAATTATTTTAATGCACTGGAGAAAACAGACTAGAATAATGTACATAAATATTCATGTATGAAACACCAACACATACAAAAACAAAGAAATTAAAATCAAGAATCGGTAAACTGACTCACTTCTGAAATGTCAAAACATACAGTATCTTTCTAATGATCACACTTGTTCTGCATGATAATTAGTCATTCGTATTATGTAACAACACAATGTTGCAAGCCACATTTTCTATGTTCAGGTATTGATGTAGACCTGATCGTGTTTATCAGCCACACTGTCCTTATACGGCGTTTACATCGGCTCATTATTGACCTGATTCATTCAATAAGCCTTCTACTCAAAAATTCAGCCTACACTGATGGGAAATGTGATTGCATCTTGACCTTCCAACAGCTTGCTGATCCCAGCAACAACCTTTGTCATCACTTCTACATTGTTCTGTTCGCTGCCCCGTGGGAGAAACACTGCTGACAGAAAAGATTTGGAGGCCATGATAACACTGAGCATTCCATGTTGAGCACAACAGTATAAAGTGCAATACACATCTTCTCGTGTATTCTGGCAACTGTTTGAACTGTTTTAGCCCACAATAATGCAAACCATCAAGGGTGCTGGGCAGGTGCACTGTCAGTATGCCAGGGGAATGATACATCCTCTGTGTTCTCTGCTTTTGTCAGAGTGATTGATTTTTACTGGAAGATGGCCAGCTTCCAGTTTGATCCGCAGACACACGGCAGGTAGAGCTCATACACACTAGGCCAGTTTGGCTGTTTGTCAAGGTTTCATAAAAGCCGCGTGTGTGAGGAGAAGGGAGGAGGGTGAATATCATGCAAGCATTGTTTATATGTGTGTCTCGGTTGTACGTTAATTTGCATCAGTCCCTTTATTTGTGGTCAGACTGTTGCAAGTTGCTCAGCTAACTATACTCTGTCAAAGATTGTGCCATCTATATTTTCACCACCACAGTGTGACAAACAAAACCACACACCATGTCCAGATATCCTGTGAAAAGCATTTTGAACCATGTTTTGATAGATTTATCAATGCCATTCCGCAGTGGTCTCCCTGCTTTGTGCTGACACAATTTCTTTTCCGTGATAGGCTAGCACATAATGACATGAAACACTTACAGCAGTCAAATAAACACAGGCAAATACTGAGACTTTTGTTTGACTAAACACGTGGGATTTTTGTTGAACAACTACAAATTTCTGCCGCACTTAAAGCTGATCTTTAATAATTTCTATGTATTTCCCACTCTCGAGGAAATGTTTTCAAACTACATTCAAACTCTGTCCTCCCTCCTTTCCTCTGTCTTTACCAGACCCTTCATATGATGCTGTACGGCGAACAGGATGGTCAAACAACATGCACAGTGGCAAAGGTGAGGACACAACAAATTCTTAAAGACCCTTATGCATTTCTGACTGGACAATACTGATAAGTATGGGTGAATGCAACCTACTCAGAGAGAGGGCATGATTCTACATTTTCACCTGATATGGTGAACACTATCATTTGGTAGGCCTTACAGGTAAAAACAACCACATAATAAGGCTGCATCACACTACAGGCATTTCCAACATCCACAAAGTCTAGACATGTGGGACTGACTCCTAAAGATTACAGCCCCTGTTGTCACAATATGAACACACAGCCAAAAGAAATAATCCAGCCACCAGCTACTGCCTTATTTTCTTTGGACTTCTACTAACATGCCTTCAAGATGTGTAACCTGGTTGTCTATGCCACCCTGTTGATGTTTTCTCCTTCTCTTTCTTTGTCGTTTTCTGTCCTTGCCTATCTCTGCAGGCTCACCCGTGGTTACTCAGAATGTAACCAAATCCACTGAGCAGCCCAGAGCTCAACCGGGTAACTTATAACTTAGTCATAAATACAACCTTAAAGTGTATTTGTTGGTCAGGCCATCAGATGTTCTTTGTGCTAGTATCATAACCAAGAGTTCTATTTTGCAAATACAGATCAACATGATAAAATAATCACAGCATCTGAAATGTGCAATATTATGGTTTACCTACAGTTTGATAATATAGTCTATCACCAAGCTTTGGGCTATTTTTTTTCTCTAACCTCTCAGCCACACATCTGTGCAGCTGATGTAAGAAATATGTTGTGTTTTGTGAACAGTGAGGGTTTTGCCCCAGCCGTGGAACACTGGACCAGCTCTATACCCTCACTATATTATATATAGCTGATGTAAGAAATATGTTGTGTTTTTTACTGGTCAGCTCATTATTTAGAGGATGTGCAGAGCATAACTGAAGTGATCACACAGAGTGACACAGTTTGGGACATTTAGCTGTGGCGACCCCTAACGGGAACAGCCAAAAGAGGAAGAAGAAGTTCTATTCAGTCTAAAATGTCACAAGGAAAAGCAAAGAATATCCATTTTTAAATTACTGTCATTAAACTCATTCATTGCTCGGTGACATTCATTTTGTTTTCAAACTTTTATACTAATTAGCATAGGTCAGCTTTTATTATATCAGCACAGTGGTTTGTGTATGGGCCAACAAAACTCTCCTTTTGTCCACAGATCCTTACCAGATTCTGGGTCCCACCAGTAGTCGCTTAGCCAATCCAGGTAAGATAAATGTCCTTTCATGCATGCCTCACTGGACCGATAATGAGACATCAAGGTGTGGAAAATGACTAATGTGTTTGGTTGCACAAAGTTGAATGAGGCTACATCTCGAATTGACCACTGTTTGTGCCGCCCATCAGGTTCAGGTCAGATCCAACTGTGGCAGTTCCTTCTGGAGCTCCTGTCTGACAGTGCCAACGCTGGCTGCATCACCTGGGAAGGCACGAATGGCGAGTTCAAGATGACGGACCCAGACGAGGTGGCAAGGCGCTGGGGTGAGCGTAAGAGCAAGCCCAACATGAACTACGACAAGCTGAGCCGTGCACTGCGCTACTACTATGACAAAAATATCATGACCAAGGTGCACGGCAAGCGCTACGCATACAAGTTCGACTTCCACGGCATCGCTCAGGCACTACAGCCTCACCCAACCGAGTCTTCCATGTACAAGTACCCCTCGGACCTAGCCTATGTGCCTTCCTACCACACTCACCAGCAGAAGGTCAACTTTGTGTCTCCACACCCTCCTTCCATGCCCGTCACCTCCTCCAACTTCTTTGGACCCACTGCTCCATACTGGAGCTCACCTACTGCAGGCATCTACCCCAATCCAAATGTCCCCCGCCATCCTAACACCCACGTGCCATCCCACCTGGGAAGTTACTATTAAAATCCTTCCTTTCTGACCAACCACCACCTTCTTTAACCCCCCTCTCCCCACAACAAAGCCCACACTTGCTGACCTGCGCTCCCAGTGATGCCGAACCAGTGAAGGCTGAATTGATAAAGGCTTTTGTCTTTTGAAGAAATTCCGCTCCTAATTTAAAGGAGGTTTTTTTTTATGTAACAATCTATAAACAACTGGATGTTATGATCCAAAATGGAATACTACTTATTTTTACAAGACTAGCAACTGTTTGCTTATGTTTTTTGGACATGCATCTGAGTTTGCTTTGCCTCTCTCTCTTTCCCATCCTCCTGAAAGCTGCACCCACAGGTGTCCTCCCCAAAACCTTCCCAAAGCAAAGCCTGAGTTTGTCTGCGTCCAGACAAAATATGATACAGGTTGGCACCTATAATTCCTCACCTTGCTACATTACCAGACATGGGCCTAAAATTTATAGGTCTCAATATACATCATCCTCAGTACATTAAGTGCATTATAAAGCATCTGCCTTTTCCACTTGTCTACAGCCTTGCCAGGGTCTCTTATTCCCACCACATCTAGTTCCCTGTTTCCGCTGTCTCTGTCTCTCATCTGCATCCCTTCATGCGTGTATAGAGAGTCTTCTGGAATTCGCTGGACAATGTGGAGCTCTCAGAGAGATGGACTTTTCTCAGCACTGAATGAAATTTGGCAACTGGAATATGCCATTGATAGTATAATTTATCCTCCAAACTGGAAGGCTAGAGAAGAGTTAAATGAAGGAAGCGCTGTATGTGTTGCTGACCTGGGTCAACTCAGTCATTTAAAATGCTCTTTCCCGTGAGTTCATGATGGGCGATGTGTGACTCATTAGTGTTGGGGAAGCTGAGTCAAGATGTACTGTAAGTAATTTGCAACAATAATTCAACCTAGGTCAGAGGTTTTCAGGGGACAACACACTATTAAATGTTTGCCATGTTGTTGCCTTTCAACCATTCCAATTCTAGATGTTCTGTGGCTTGACCATGTCAGTATTAATGTGAATGTCTTCTGGTTTGTGAAACACATGGAAAAAATGGATAACCAACCTAGAGCAAAATCATTACCAGTCAGATGTTTTTATTTAGTAGAAAATTCTAATGTTGAGATTCATTGCTTCACACTTAAGACTTAGTTTGCAGAAACTGTCTGAATTTAAAACATGAGAGTGCCTTGTGGGTATATAGCTGTTATCCGCAAAAACAAGACTCAAAACTGTATGTTTCGGATTCTGTTTGTTTTCACCCAAAGAACCTTAAAGTTTCATGAGTGCATCTACTTTTACTACTATGTGCCATGATGAGACTCAAAATCCTCAAAATGTTAGCACCATGACTTAACTGCTGTTTTATACCATACATTTTCTATTAATTAAAGATTAAACAGCATTACATTTTAAAAATACATACTGTATATAGTGAGATACATAAATCATCTCCATGTCTGACCAGAAATCTGACTATTTTTGATTTTGAAGTGCACTCTAACAGTAATACCTGCCACAATGTCTCCTTCCTCTATATAGGCCAGTCAGGACAGTTCTGGTCAGTACAGACGTGACTTAGGAGTAAGTCATGGTAATAGACAGTCTTGATGCATTTTTATCAGGGCTGGATTCTAGTGTGAGAGAGGCATGTGTGGTTGAATGTCAGGTTCTCACTGATCTAGAGTATGTCCAGCAAAATACACTTGAATTTCCAGTCAGGATTTAATCGTCATCATCATGTTATAGTATCATGTCAAAGCATATCCATCTTCAGGTGTTCAGAGCTGTTCAAAGTATTCCTTCAGAGTAACTGAAAATGAACACTTGAAAATAAATTACATGGGACTCAGTAGTTTATCAGAGAACAAAATCAGTCAAGTATGAAACAAAGAAATCCTCAGATTCGCAAACGCTGTGCGTTTGTCAGACCTATTTTTTATTATTTTATAAACATCAGTCAACTAGGCATTAAAGCAACTTACTGTATAAATTATGCAGATTTATTTTCATATGTGATACAGTATAAAAAAGTCAAGAGAATTAATACGAGTTGACCTCGGTCAAAAATGCAAACATTTTAAGTCCATTTCTGCTTAGTAGTTTGTTCAGCGTATTAAGCGTTTTTATATCTGTACATTTGGACATTTTATCATTTTTGTTTTCTTGTTATTATTATTGTTTCTGAAATTTGGTTGCAACATCCTAAGTGCCTTTACTATGTGCACAGGATATTTTCTTGTATTCCCAACCTTTTAAATGCCTGCCTGGATCACTGCGTAATAACAAGGGATTGATTTACAGTACTTTGTATGCAACATATGATTTGTTTCTGTTTAGATCACTTCTCATGCCGTATAGCCCTGGGATTGGTAGCTTTTCCTGTACATTAAATAATTTCAGGTATTTTATGCAAAATAATACGAACAGTATTAATATCAACAGCCCGCTTCTCCTGAAAATTTATAGCTTTAAAAGAACAAATAAAAAAGGAATGTAATTTGTAGCATAAAGAAATATACCCTTAACTTCCATGTTTCACAAACATTATCTATGAAAAGGGATCTGTGCTACTTCATATATGCAATGCATTTGGATATATATATATATGTGTGTGTGTGTGTGTGTGTGTGTGTGGGTGGGTGTGTGTGTGCGAGTGTGTGTGTGTGTGGGTGTGATTTTGCAATTATCCAGTGTATTATTATTATTATTGTTATTCTTGAAATGTATGAAGTAATACCTTTTGAAAAAGGGCTTTTGTATAGGAAAATGTGACAAAATAAATGTTTTTACCTCTCATGTTATCTTCCATTGTCTTCCTGTGGCTTCACCAGAGCTTTGGGACTTTTTTCTGGCAACTCTCTGTCAAGTATATTATTTGTTCACCTATTTGTTCCTTCAAGTGAGCAGTGATGTGTTAAATCTGTTTGTCACACAGTGCATACCATCTATTCATGTCTAGTCATGTCTGTTGTTCTATTTAGATGGAATAAGTTTTTCACTGCTGGCTTTTGTTTGAATCTGCATCAAGAAACAAAGCATGCATTAATTATAACAAAACAATCTTGCATTTTATTTTTTACTAGCACTGAAGTGTAGCTTTTTTACATTCTTTACCAAATGATAAGGTGTCTGCTACAGTTTATACTTATGCATCCTTATCTTGATCATCTTTGATACGCTTGTTATCTCACTGTATTATAATTTATGCATAAGCTAACCATGATAGCACTATGAAAGCTTTATGTCCTTGTAAAAGAATATCTCTGTTACTGGTTTATTAGATACTATATACATAATGTGGCCTAATAGAACAGAAATGTAATAGGCCGCACCTTCATGAAGGTGATAATGGTCCATTTTTGTTGAAAATGTCATTTTAGAGGCTGCAGTTTGTAGTGCTGTTGAATCTGTGTGTTAAACATGCACTGTACTTGTTTTAGATGTTTCAAAATTTTTCCCAATCGCATTTAATGTATCTTTATGAGAAGCATTAAACTGTGATAGTTTATCTGGCTGAAACTCATAAACCTGCAACTAAGTTTGAGCGTTAATCATTAATCATTTCTAGATGAAAGGCATGCAGGATCGGTTATATTTTGTTTTTTGATGGTATGGCTATTGTATGGTTCTATCGAATGTTGAATCTTTTACAAGGCCATGTCCTATAAGCGAGGGACTTGGACTTTTCCTTGTTTGTAGAAACTGATACAATAAACATGTCTTGAAAAACCAGGAATTTGAAGATAACAATTTTCAGGTTGGGAGAGGTTTTGGAAAAATAAATAAATCCCAGAAGTTTTGGAAAGGTCACATCAATTAGTTTCACAAATACAGTATCTTACCTATTGTTCTATGATCATTAAAGAGATACAATATAATTTTTTTTTGACAAATGATACAGTAGGCATAAAATCACTTTAGTTTGCCAGTATTTGACTTCATACTAATATGCAAATAGGTTAATCATATTTTGCGTCACTCAGTTCTCTTTCTGAATACAGCTGAAAATGATAGGTGTTGGTAATTTAACACCCAGTGCGTAGGCACAGTGTCTGTGTTAAATGGCAGCTACAGCCTTGCACACTGCACTATTAGCTTGCATACTAAACCATGTAGTCAGAAATATGTCTTTCAGACACAATGGACTGTCTTCTAGGGACAGTTCAGGACTTCCTAATAAAATATAAATAAAAGAATGCATTGTATGTGTGCTTGCTAGTAATTTTATATATAAAGCAACATTGCTGTGTGTAGAACATAGACTTTATATAAACATCATTATTATTATTAATAATAATAATACAGTATCTACGGTGCCGACTCACACATGCAGTAAGACTGTAGGTATATGCAGTTCATTGGAAAGGTCGTGGGGTGAGGTCCACCTGAACAAGTCTGTGCTAGCAGACAGTATATGTTACTGTACTTCACTAAAAGGAGAAATCCGGTTTCATGTTCAGAACCAGCAAGCAAAATAATGGGCAATAAACAACAGCTTTTATCTCACTAGGCTGTGCTTAGATTCCTGTTTGCTGTCACAACTTCACTTTTTTACAGATGAAAAAATATGATACAGGTTGGCACCTATAATTATGTTGCGTTGACCTTTTTGATTACAGTCCATATGTGATGTTCCACCCCAGAAAATAGTTTTAAAAATCAAAGAGATCTTTGAATGCAAAAATGGCCTTTATTCACTGCATGTTTCTTCTGATATCAAACATAAACAGAACAACAGACTGAGCTGACATTCATAATGCAGTCAGTGCTACATGTAGCTATTTATGAAGTGAACATATATTATGTATTTTCTGAGCACCTTGGTCTCTCACACTGTCTTGATTGAAGAAGAAAACCACAGCTACATCTCAGACTTTTTATAAGAAGGCCCGTAAGCCCATCCCTTCAGAAGTGTAATAATTAAGTATACACACTTATGGCAATAGCATAACCCCAAACACTGGTCCTTCAAACAACTGCAAGATTTGCATACAGTATAATACATCGGCTTTGTTTTTATTATCTTTCCAAGCTCTGTATACCTGCAGGCTATACAGAATGAATTAGAATCACTTGTGTTCATTCACAGCATGTAGCACGTGAGTATACTCCTTGTGTGAGTTTCTGGTCTTGAGTTGCAGCTGCACCACCTTGAATGTCTCCCTGCTGAAAACTGGTTTTTGGTCAGCTGAGCATGACAGTACGGTTTTAAATAGCAGTAATTAACAATGACTGCCCCACCTCACAGATAACTTTTTATCTTTGTTATACACAAAAGAATAGCAAAGAAGCAGGTTTTCTTTCCTTCTTATGTAAATGCTACACAGTCTGCCATTAGGTAACCTCACTGGCCTTCAGCATCTATTTGTC